TGAGCTGTCTTACCAGTGTTCGAATAGGAAGGTGATCCCGAACAAGAAAGTAACCTCGAGTAGGAAAGTGACCTGAACAGGAAGGTGACCTCGAATAGGAAACTGATCTGGAATAGGAAAGTGATCTGTGGGTGCCATGGGCTCTAGACTTGCTCATAGGTCCAGGAAGTGAATTGGGATTTGGAGGCCCGAACCCGATGGTTTGGCCTGACTGTATCTTATATCAAATGGGCCTAATCCGGATGGGACCGTATCGGGATTGGGCCTGGTCTCTTCCTCATTCAGTCCTGTTCTCCTATTTGGGCCAAAGACGATTTTTGGCCTTAACAGTTTGCCCCCCACTCTCTAAGTTAAGTTTTTCTTAAGTCAAAGAGTAGGAAGCGATCAAGGCGCGCTCGATCTCCCTTCCTGGACGGTCAATTGTCGGCGTAGCTGACCAGTTTGATGTAGGTGATTCGTAGTCAAGGGTTGCTCGGTATCAAAGCTTATTCGGAATGTGCAATCACCCCAAGAGGGTATGCTCGATCGGTGTGAAGGGTCGAAGGGACTGAGATAACGAGATTTTTAGGGCTCACGTGCTCGTTTGGTGTGTCCTGCCGACTGGAGAAGTGAACTAAAATCCCATGACAAGGGTATCCGCTCGGCATGCAGGGTCGAATGAGTTGGAGACGATGTTAAATTAAAGGTTCATTCGGTTGGGGTACTCGGGTGATCGAGTGGGATGGAATCGGCTCGATCGGCTTGTTGGTCCATAAGACTTGTGCTTGTGGTTCCACGATGCTCTTTACTGGATGCCAAAGGGCCAAACAAAATATGCAAACATTTGACCCATGGCTGCCCACTCGTCCGCTATGGAAGACTGAATGGGCGAGGCCCCTTGGCTTGATCACCTCGAGGGTGAACAAGTGCTAGAATGCTCCTAGCCAATCACCCCGATTGGGAGAATCTCCTAGATGTGAAGCATGGGAGTGTTAGCTTCGTTGCGGGAGCTGGCTTGTTGCAATGTGCTGGCTCGGTCGGGTAGGAAGGGTAATTGAATCTTTAGACAGGTTATGTCTGTGTGTTGATCGGTGGCATGGGGTGGAGTGAGTGGACATCCAATACTTGGTTCCTGGAGAGTGAGGATGGTGGAGTTGAGTCGGTCGGTCGGTCGGGTAGAGTGAAGATCCAATACTTGGTTCCTGGGGAGTGAGGATGGTGGAGTTGAGTCGGTCGGTCGATCGGTCGGGTAGAGTGGAGATCCAATACTTGGTTCTTAGGGAGTGAGGATGGTAGAGTTGAGTCGGTCAGTCGGTCGGGTTGAGTGAAGATCCAATACTTGGTTCCTGGGGAGTGAGGATGGTGGAGTTGAGTTGGTCGGTCGGTCGGTCGGTCAGGTAGAGTGGATATCCAATACTTGGTTCCTAGGGAGTGAGGATGATGGAGTTGAGTCGTATGCTTGTGTTCTGATTTTGGTGCAGCCCAGTGGCTGAGTCGTGTGAACTCTCTGTTGGGTTGGGTTGGGTTGGGTTGGGTTGGGTTGATGACTTGTCGATTTTGAGGTGTAAGAACCCTTCACTCGGTCTGGCCGACTGAATGTGTAGCTTCATGAACTGAGCAGGGCCGATCGAAGGTGTGGATCCACGAATCGGGCAAGGCCGATCCGAAGATGAAACTATGGATTGAGCAGGGTCGATTCGAAGGTGTAAATTCATGGATCGAGCAGGGCTGATTCGAAAGTATAAATTCATGGATCGAGCAGGGTCGATCCGAAGGTGTAATTACGTGGATCGAGTAGGGTCGATCTAAAGATACAAATCCGTGGACTAAGCAGGGCCGATCCAAAGGTGTAATTACGTGGATCGAGCAGGGTCGATCTGAAGATGCAAATCTGTGGATCGAGCAGGGCCGATCCGAAGTGTGAAAGCTCATGAATTGGGCAGGGTTGATTCGAAGGTGTCAGTTGCTGAATAATGCTTCATTGAATTCAGGCCATGAGACCGACTGTCTATGAAGGCTGTGGATGGGCCCACTCATCCTTTTTAAATAAAAAATGAAAAGACAACAAATATTTAGATTGATTTCACCTAAAAGTAGTAGCATGTGGGATGGATTGCGTTCCAACTGTTGCTGATGTCTTTGCCTTTGGGAGTTTGGAGCAGGTAGGCACCCTTCCCTGCTTCTTTGGTGACCTTGTAGGGCCTACAATCGATCTAAGCTCTGGCCTCCTGCCATTCTGCATTTAGTCATACCTGGCGTGAATTGCCTAATTCATCTCATCTTCTTCCCACCTTATTTGAATCGTTGCTCTAGCCAAGGCGTCTTCCATCGTGGTGCAACCTAGCTTCATCAGTTCTTTGTATAGTTCACCATCTGGGAGGAGACCTTTTTTGAAGGCGTCTACGGGTGTCTCAGGGTTATAGGAAGGGATGGAAATCTTCTCTTTGTTGAATCTGCTAACATACTCTCTCAGTGGCTCTCCCCTCCTCTGGTATACTCTGTATAGATCGGCCGACAACTTCTCGAGTTTCTTGCTACTAGCGAACTACTGCACAAAGGTGTTGGTGAGCTGAGCGAATGAGTTGATGGAACCGTTCGGGAGATTTGTGTACCACTGGAGTGCTGGACCGGATAAGCTTGAACTAAAACTCTTGCACATGCAGGCTTCCCTCAACGCTCGGGGTATTGAGACAGTGAACATCTGCTGCTTGTATGAGCCATGTGATCATCTAGGTTGGTTGTGCCATCGTAGGGTTTCATGCTGGGAATAGTAAACTTCTAGGGCATGTCGGCTAGGGCGATCTCGTCCACAAAGGATGAATCCGAGTAACAGTGAGGCATGCTCTCTTGGTCAGGACCGACATTCCTGGGATGCGCCTCATCACTGCCTCTACATCAGCCAGCCTCTTGGCCAGTACCTGTTCCATAGGAGAGGGGGATACCACTAGATCATCCCGTTTGACTGGGTCAACCATTGCATTCGTCCTTGGTATATTCCGTTGGGTCATCCCGCGCAGTGTAGTCTAGTGGATCATTCCTTCGTGCACACCCTGGTAGCCCGGATCTTCATTCATTCCCTCCGGTCGGATGACTCCCATGGTAACTGATCTGGTGTTTTGCCCTACATGAATGGTTAGGGGGTTGTTTGATATTCGTTCGGTCCGTCAGGATGGGTAGGCTTGAGTGCTATAGTTTGGTTGGGTTGGCCGTTCAACCCGTGAGGGTGAGCTGAGTCGAATGGTGTTTGTACGGGGATGGTTGACTGGAAGTGAGGCTGGATGGTAAGAATGGGTTGGTCTTGCAGGTGTGGGCTCTCTGTCTCTTGGGCGTCTTGATCTCGAGACTGGGGTGGATCGGATGAATGGGGTTCTGTTGGCAGATCATTTCCTCCATAAGTCAGGATCGAGTCATCGACCACCGAGAACTTAATGGACGTGGCCTTTTACCGAGGGTTAAGGGTCTGTGCTCTAGGGTTTGGAGAGGTTGCATGTATGGAATTGGGGCATGGAATCGATTGGGAGGTACCTGGCAAGGCAGAATCTTCGGATCATAGAACTGACTCACCTTTTCTTTAAGAGACTGGTTTTCGGCCCGGATGGATGTGTTTTTGCTCCAGAGTACATTGTTCTCGGCTTCCAACATGGCCATCTTGTCTGAATTTTGTTGCATGAGAGCGGTCAAAGCCTCCAGTCTAGCCTCAAGGCCAGAGTTATCGTTGTTCGAAGGGTCAGCCATGGAAAATTCCTCTATGTAGCAAGGTTCGTTGAGCTAAATGATTGCTAGAGGCCCTATGGTGGGCGCCAAACTATAGACATGAAAATCTACCTATACGGAAGGGGGGTCTGATCCTGTGAGGTTGAGGCCACTAGCGATCCGCTACACCTGCACACGTAGAGAAACAAGAGTGAAGCGAACAGAAAACACCGGGGTGGTGTTTGCCGTAGGCACTCCGACGCTTAAGTCAACAAAGCTAGAAGAGGCTAGTATAGTGAGGGCTAGGGAGTAGAGACATTACCGGAAGTCTAGTCGGGGACTGTGACTACGACAGTGATGTGAAGCTCTCAAGTAGAAGCTTCGGGTGTGAAGGTGTAATGTAATCTAATCCCCTTTGTGAGAGGGCTGGCCTTTGCTTATATAGTGACTGTCTAGTATCCCAGTCATTCGAATAGGAAGGTGATCCCGAACAAGAAAGTAACCTCAAGTAGGAAAGTGACCTGAACAGGAAGGTGACCTCGAATAGGAGACTGATCATGAATAGGAAAGTGATCTGTGGGTGCCGTAGGCTCTGGACTTGCTCATAAGTCCAGGAAGTGAACTAGGATTTGGAGGCCCGAACCGATAGTTTGGGCCGACTGTATCTCGTATCAAATGGGCCTAATCCGAATGGGACCACATCGGGATTGGGCTTGGTCTCTTCCTCATTCAGTCCCGTTCTCCTATTTGGGCCAAGGACGATTTTTGGCCCTAACAGAAGCCGTTCATGATAGTATATGATTAAATATGCATGGTTACATGTAGTAAATAAAGTGTAGGAGAGAGTTTATTACAAAGTTGATAAACTACTCATACACTTTATTACAATGAATATATTTTATATAAAGAGATTTAAGTACAACTCTTAATATAAAAGTACAACTTCTAGGAAAGAGCAACTACGGTTAGACTTCCCTTGGATCCTCTTAACAAATCCATTATCCTAGCGGAGAAAACCATTGCAGATTCTTTTTTCAACTTTTCCAAGCTGAGGAGAGTTTTGCCAAGCAAAAATCCAGGGTCCAATGGCTTAAAAATGGGGATCAAAACTCTGCTTATTTTTTCAAGTTGATTAATAGGAGAGAAACCGTACTAGAATATCTTCAATTCTCCTTAAAGATGGCATCCTAACAGATGATGCTTGCAAAGTAAATCAAGATTTTGTGAGGTTTTTTCAAAACCTTTTATGGGAAAATAATCCTCTCGTTTCTTTCCTAGGGCTGGAGGACTTAATTAGCCCTAGTAAATTGGATGATCAAGCTCTGTCTATGGTGGAGGAGGTAACTCGTGAGGAAATCTCTAAAGCCATCTTTGATCTTGCCAATGATAAGGCTCCTGGTTCGGATGGCTTCAATCCTTTGTTCTTAAAAAAAGCGTGGCAGATCGTGGGTGATGACATTGTTAAAGCCATCCAGAATTTCTTCAGGTCAGGTTGCATGTTGAAATAAATTAATTGTACTATCAGTGCTCTTATTCCTAAGTGTGATTCTCCTTCCTCGTGTAAAGACTTTCGTCATATTTCTTGCTGCAACACTATCTACAAGTGCATAGCCAAGATTATTGCGAATAAAATCAAAGATGTTTTACTCGACTTGATCAATCCAGCCCATGCAACCTTTGTCAGAGGTAGGAAGATAGGGGACAATATTCTTTTGTGCCAAGAATTGCTTCACAACTATCATTGGCATTCTTCCATCCCTAAAAGATATGCAGCCAAAGTGGATCTCATAAAAGCATTTGACTTGGTAAGATGGAATTTCCTCCTTCAAGTTCTCAAAGGCTTCGGCTTCACTAGTAAGATGATTCAATGGATTGGGGTTTGCATCTCGACCCTGATGTAATCTATTACTGTTAATGGTTAGTTAATTGGTTTCTTTGGGAATTGTAAAGGCTTAAGGCAAGGAGACCCCATGTCCCTTTATCTCTTTGTTATGGTAATGGAAATCCTCTCTCGACTATTGTCCAAAGCAGCGGCCAATCCTTCTTTTAAGTCCCATTGGAGTTGTAGCAAGGAGAAAATAACTCATATATGATTTGCTAATGATATCATGCTTCTTTGCCATGTTGATGAAACTTCCCTTCAGATTATCCAAGAGGCTTTAACTAGGTTTAGGTCGTGGTCGGGAATGCATGCAAATCCCACTAAAAGTAGCCTTTTTTTATTTTAGGTGTGCAACCTTGTCAAAAACAAGCCCTTTTGAGTGTGCTTAACTTCAATGAAGGAAAACTTCATGTTGCTTATTTGGGATTTCCTCTTATCACTAGAAAGCTTACTTATGGAGATTGTAAGCCTCTTTTGGACAAAATCCTTGCCCGCATTAAATCTTGGAGAAGCCATTTTCTTTCTTATGCATGTAGACTTATTCTCATCAAATATGTTCTCACTAGCATCCAAGTTCAATAGTTAGCCATTTTTATTCTCCCGTCTAAGGTGTGGATTGAGATTGAAGCCACTCTTAGAGCCTTTTTTTGGGATGTAACAAACTTGAAGAAAACAAAGGCAAAGGTGGCTTGGGACGAGGTTTGTGTGCCGAAAGATGAAGGGGGTTTGGGCATTATGCGTATTGGGGATTGAAATAAGGTTGCCATGATGAGGCACCTTTGAAACATCACCCAAATCCGAAGCAACTCAGGGTGGACAACATGGGTTAAATCTTATATGCTTAGGGTAAGTCTTTTTGGATCTCATTAGAACCGAGGTGGGTAATGGTCAATCTACTTTATTATGGTTATATAATTGGCATCCTAAAGGTCCTTTGTTAGACACTTATGGTGATAGAATTGTGAATTATTCGGCTTTGAGCTTGCATGCAAAGGTTAAGGAGATCATTGGGAATAGGGGATGGAAATGACCCTTTGCCAATTCTTGGGAGCTTATGGAAATGAAGGTCTTGGTTAATTTCATCCCTAATGATAATGAGGATAAAATAGTTTGGATCCCTAACCCTTCGAAAGCTTTCTCTATAAATTCGGCATGAGAGTTAATTAGAGCTTGACGCCTTAAGGTTGAGTGGAATCACCTTGTTTAGTTCCCTAAACACTTCTTAAGACATGCAATCATTCTTTGGTTGGCCATTAGGGGGAGACTTCCTACTCAAGACCAATTGGTAAGGTCTGGCTTAGTTAACAATATGTCTAATTATTGGTGACAACAAAATTAAGAAAAAATATATCATTATGTATTATTTGATTTCTGGGTCCTAGAGTTTAAAAGAAAAAAGTATTTTGTTATCTTTGATCCTATAAATGATTGGCTAATTAGTGGTAAATAACAAAATTAATGGAGCAAAACTTAAAATTAAAGTGCAATTTAATAAAAAAATTAATTTTTTTTTTTTTTTTTTTCTCAGTGTGGTCAAAAGCTACTTTCCATGGCTGTGACGCTATAGGCTATATTCAAAATTGTTTAGAGTATTAATGCCTTTGACCTCATGACCATCAGAATTTATTACTATGTGAAGAATTATTTAATAATAATATAAAGTTCATTTTAATAGAGTATAAATGCCTTTGACCCCATGACCAGAGTAAATGAGAGGCTCTTTCATAGTGTATGTAATATATACACTATATCATGAAATTCAAATGTATAATTAGTAATTAACTATTATTTAGAATATGTTGTAATTGTAAACTTAGATAGGATTCAATTAAAAAAACAAATCGTTTAACTAACAATTATATATTTAAATATTAACTATCTCATATTAATATGATGATATAAAATATGATTATGATTACCCAAATTGTTGCTTGGATAGCATTGAGTCATGATAAATATATAATTGTGGAAAATCAATTAACTTTAGCATATATACGATGACACGTATAAGTTTCAACACTCATTCAGTTGTTTATAAGTTTATAACTATCATATTTGTTTGCTATCAGAAGGAATAATATATATGAAATTCGACTTGCACATATTTCATTCATATATATATTAGGTGTCATACAAATATTAACGAAAGGGTGGATACAACATCACTCTCTAAAACACCAAGAATCTTTATGACAAAAAACCCATGGCATAAAATGCCACCACAAGTTTACCATGAAACATTAAAGATGTCAAAAAGTGACACCAAATTGGAGATCTGCAAAATCATCTTTGAAACCAACTTGTTACCAACTTTTATTCCCGTTAAACAAATACATATGTATGGTTCTCTTGTTATAAACCGCACTAAAGAGAGTTAAGAATCAAAACATGATATCATGGATTCTCTGCTCTACCTCTACCTTCTTGTGCTAATCCCTATTGTTTTCATCATCTACCAATTACTCACTTCACAAAATAAGATTGAACTCGAAAACCAACTCCCAAGTCCTCCTGCTCTTCCTATAATAGGCCATTTCCACCTCTTAAAACTGCCCTAATACAAAACTCTGAACAATTTGTCGTCCAATTATGGCCCCATATTTCTTCTCCGTTTAGGTTTAAGGCCAACACTTGTGCTGTCCTCACGTTCAGTCATTCAAGAATGCTTCACAAAGAATGATATCATCTTCGCCAACCGTCCACTCCTGCCCTCTAGGAAGATCTCAACTTACAATTTCACTACGCTTGGTGGTCAGTATGGCAACCATTGGCGCAACCTCCGCCGTTTCTCTGCTCTTGAAATATTCTCGGCAAATCGTCTTCAGATGTCTTCAAATGTTCGCGCTGAAGAACTTAGATTCGTGGTCAAATACTTGTTCAAAAGCTCCTTCAAAGGGGCTCAGAAAGTGGATGTTAAAGCGTTTCTCTACATGTTGGATTTTAATATCATGATGAAGATGATTGTAGGTGAGAGATGGTTTCACTTTGAAGAAGAGGAAATGGATATGGATATGTCTAAAGCAAAATTGGATGAATTTATGAAGATGTTTAGTCCGCCCATGATGGCGGCTTTGGGTGATTATCTTCCTTTTCTGAGATGGTTGACATACTTTGGAGTGGAGAAGAAGATGCTAAAAGTGCATAGAAAGAGGGATGCTTTCTTGCACACTCTACTTGACGCATATCGAAATCCTAACGATCAATCTACTTCGGTTCCAAATAGTGAGATCAACCAAACAATTTTAGATGTAATGCTGAAGCTTCAGGAATCAGAACCTGAATTCTACACTGATGATGTTATCAAAGGAATTATGCAGGTATTTCCTACTACTTTGTGATGGTGTGTGCGCTTTTATATACGTTTTGAAAGAGTATGCTTTTCAATTTAATTTAGAGATTAATAAATTTCCGGATTAATAATTTTTCGAGTTAAAAAGAAATAATAATGCTATTGCTATTGCTACATATATAAACTATCTATTCAAACAATTTTTTACAAATTGTGTGACAACCCTTTATGTTTGTCATGTAGCCTCGTTTAATCATTTAATTAACTTTTAATTTATAGATATCCAGTCATTTTAACACATATAAGTTTGTAAGAGATAGTTTATATATGAAATAATATCTAAAAGGAAATATACAAAATTCTCATACAAATTCACCCATACAAACTAATATGTTTTAATGTGATTGGAAAATTTTAAACTAAAGATTATTTAAAAATAAATAATTAATTTGTATATAACATTATTCTAAATAAACTAAAGTAAGTGATATGTCAAATATTAAATATGTATGATGCCATATCAGTTTGTAAAATTAGTCTGTACATATAACATTTCTGCAATAAACTCCTCAATGATTTGAAATAGCAATTAACCCGTGTTAGTATTCGGTTTAAAGTTTCTATTATTTAACTAACTGGCATTTACTGTTTTAGAGTATGCTAATAGCAGGAACGCATACCACGGTGGTCACAATGTCATCGATTATTTCACAATTGATATCACATCCTGAAGTGTTTAAAAAGGCAAGGGACGAGATCGACAAGCATGTTGGACAATCCAGGCTACTAAATGATGCTGAACTTTCTAAACTTTCATACCTTCATTGTATTATAAATGAAACACTCAGACTACATTCTTCACAAACACTTTTAGCTCCGCGTGAATCGTCAGAGGAATGTACAATAGCAGGATACAAAATCCCTCCAGGCACACAATTGTTAGTAAACGTATGGGCAGTGCATATGGACCCCGAGTCGTGGAAAGACCCTGATAGCTTCAAACCTAAACGTTTCCTGGAGAGTAAGGAAGAGAAGAGAGGATATAAGTTCATTCCTTTTGGTTCGGGAAGAAGGCAATGCCCTGAGGAGAGCTTGGCCATGAGAGTCATGGCATTATCACTGGGGACCTTGATACAATGCTTTGAATGGGAAAATGCTGAGGATGAGAATAATGGTGCGATCAAAACCAATTCGAAGAAGGCAGAGGATAGGTCTGTAAAGATCATATTTCGACCCCGTGAATCACTTACTAAAGTTCTTCGTCTACTTTGAATTGTAATCTGCGACTAAAATGTATGCCAAGTTATGGTTCACTCTTGAACAGGACGATGAATCAGAACACATGTTTATATTTATTTTAATTATGTTATGATTGCTTCTTTAGTGTGAACTGTTCTTTAGGAGATTAGTTAGAGTAGCTGCTATTTCCTTTCTTTTAGCAATTACAAGGAGCACGTGGGCTGATTATTAGAAGTTTGTTTTACTTCTACTTGTATTTAAAGCTTGTCAAGTTAATAAAGCAGCAGAGGATAATTCTTAGTCATTTCTTTTTCTTGAGTCTGGCTGAACTCGAATTAGCCATTGTTTTGTTTCTTTTATTGCATACAACCTATTCATATTAATTGGTATCAAAGCCTATAGATCCTATGGCGGACAGTGGAGCTTATCAAACACGTTATAAGGAGGGTGTTTGTCTACCCTTATAAGCTGGTTAAACTAGCTTATGGGGGTGTTTGTCTGAGCTTATGAAAATTAGCTTACAAGCAACAGGTGCTTATAAGCTAATTTTAGCTTATAAGCATTTGAAATTTTAAGCAATTACGTGTTTGAAAGTACTTATAAGTGACTGATAAGTAATTGACGTGTTTGATAAAATGTGGCTTATAAGTACATTTTATTATAAAATGACTAAAAAAGGTACTACATTAAATAAGGGTATACTATGAAATTTTAAAATTAAACAAGGATAATGTGGTAATATATTTGGTCAAACTAGCTTATAAGCAGAGTGCTTATAAGCAAAAAAAAAAAAAGTACCTCCCTCCCAACTTATTTTTTTTGGCTTATAAGCTCAAAAAAGTTATAAACACAAAGCGTCAGCTTAATTTTAGAGCTTATAAGCTAGTTTGACCAGCTATAGCTTAGACAAACACCCCCTATAAGCTCTAAAATTAAGCCGAATGTTTGTTGAACTTTTTTAAGCTTATAAGAAAAAAAAAAAAAAAAAGTTGGGGGAAAGGTTTTTTTTTTTTTTTTTTTTTTTTTTTTTTTTTTTTGCTTATAAGTAATTTGACCAAATATATACCATATATCCTTATTTAATTTTAAAATTCTATAGTATACCCTGTTTAATGTGTACCCTTTTTAGTCATTTTATAATAAAATGTATTTATAAGTCATATTTTACCAAATACGTTAAACTATATTGTCACTTATAAGTACTTTAACCAAACACGTAATTGCTTAAAATTTCAAAGCTTATAAGCTAAAATAGCTTAGAATCAATTGTTGCTTATAAGCTAATTTTCATAAGCTCAAACAAACACCCCCAAGGAGTTAGCGGAGAATGTTTCTCAACATACGGCAACCATCACACAGCAAAGGAGCAGCTATTACCAAGATCAAGGAGAGCATGGAAAATTTCATGGCAAACGTTCGTACGCAACTTTCAGGTCTGGTTCTTCAAGTACGAGACCTTTCGGTGCCACGTTCACCTCCCAAACAATCTGATGTTTCGCCATCTCCTCTACCATGAATGCTAACGACTTCCGTCTTGATCCAGCGGCCACCATTGCCTTCCACACCAAACCATTGCAAGCCGAACAATATTTCCTATTTTATCAAATTCCACCGCCACAACAATTGCTAATCGCCTCTTTCCATCTCAAAGGTGATGCACTACAATACTTTAAATGGTTACAGCATACTGAATCCTTGATAGATTCGATCCGATGCATTAGAAAAGTGGTTCGGCCCATCGGATTTTGATGATGCTGAAGGAGAACTAGCAAAATTACATCAGAGCTCTATTGTGGCAGCATATTAGAAATGGTTTGAGGCTCTATCAAACTCTGTGGTGGGATTAAGTGATCATTTTCTACTCCATTGCTTTGTTAGCAGATTAAAAGACCAGATTCATTATATGCTTAAACTGCTTCGCCCAAATTCCCTCACTGAAGCTATTGGACTTGCACACACACACAAAACTCATTTGGCTACCCGAGCTCAGCCTTCATCTTATAGCCGTCTACCACAACGAGTGCAAGCAACTGCTAGCACAACACCAGGTCTATCAAACACATCCTTTTAACTTACTACTGCTCCATATATAGGTTAAAACAATATCTTATGATGCCATGAAGGAGAGAAGAGACAAAGGATTGTGCTACTATTGTGACAAAAAGTTTCGTCCCGGGCATAAATGCAAGACTTAAACCCTTTTCATGCTTGAAAGTCAACGTTTGGTAGATGAGGAAGATATGGATTGATCTGACAATTCACCCCTGCTGGAAGAAACAGTTCCAGAAATATCTATTCATGCCATGGCAAGAGCTCATGCTCCTCAAACTATGTGAGTCACATACCTTCTCTACAACAAGCCAATGTCGATTCTCATTGATACCAGCTCCATAAATAATTTTTTAGACCTTCAAATAGCAACGAAGACGGGATTACATGTGGATGATGGGGCCAAATTTAACGTGATGGTGGCAAATGGCGACACTCTTTCTTACACTAGACGTAGAAAAATACATCTCTCTCTATTCAAGGTATACCAATTACTGTTGATTTTTTAGGTGCTGTCCTTAGGGGGAGGTGATGCTGTTCTTGGTGCCCATTGGCATCAAACTTTGGGACCAATACTGTGGGATTTCAACAAGATAAGGATGAAGTTTACATTTTCAGGAAATCATCACCAAATCCTCGGTGAACCTTTAAAAACAGTTTCCTACTCAACTTGCAACTTTATCTCCAAGCTTGGTAAGGCATCTAATTTTGGTTATCTACTCTTTTCCATTACTACAAGTGGACCTAACCCTTTAGATGAGATTGTTCCCCCTCCTTTGCAACCTCTCATCTGTGAATTCCAAGGAATTTTCAAAGCTCCAACAGGCTTGCCACCTTTATGTTCTCAAGATCACCATATTCGACTTCATCCAGATTTTGGCCCAATTAATGTACGCCCGTACTGATATCATATACCCTGAAATCAGAAATTAAAAGACTAGTACAAGAAAGGCTTCAAGATGGCATAATTAGACATAGTCAAAGCTTGTATTCATCTCCAGTAATATTGGTAAAGAAAAAGGATGGGTCCTGGCGTCTCTGCATAGATCCTTAAATGAAAGCACCATCAAGGATCGCTATCCCATTCTAGTGGTGGATGAACTTTTGGATGAGCTTCATGGTGCTACCGTGTTCTCCAAATTAGACTTACACTTTGGATATCATCAAATTCATGTCGCTTCTCAAGATATTGAAAAACAACATTCGCACACATGAAGGACATTATGAGTTTCTTGTAATGCCTTTTGGCCTTACAAATGCTCCTTTTATATTTCAAAGCCTCATGAAGTCGGGTAGATTATTTGGGCCACATTGTGTCTAGCAATAGAGTTGAAGTAGACCAATCCAAAATTGCGTGTATCCTCAATTGGCCCACACCAAAATCTGTCTGAGCACTCTAAGGATTTTTAGGACTTACAAGGTACTCCGGAAAGTTCATCAAAAATTATGGGTCAATAGTAGCTCCACTTACAGTATTGATAAAAAACAATGCATTCAAATGGAGTCAAGCAGTTGATGTCGCCTTTAGCAACTTGAAGAATGCAATGGCTACTCCTCCAGTCCTAGCACTCCCAAATTTCTAGAAACCATTTATCATTGAATGTGATGCCTCTAGGGTGGGCATCAGTGTTGTTCTTATGCAAGAAAAACAACCATTGGCTTTCTTAAGCCATGCTCTTTCAGGTACAGAACTTAACTTGTCAGTTTATGACAAAGAATTACTTGCTTTAGTGATGGGAATGCAGAAATTGAGGCCATATCTATTAGGCAACCAGTTTATTGAATGGACAGATCACCAATCACTTAAATAACCTCTTGGATCAGAAGCTTGGGACGTCCTCACAACAAAAATGGATTACCAAACTTTTGGGATATGATTTCCAGGTGGTTTAAAAGAGCAGTGCTTCCAACCATGCAGCTAATGCTCTCTCACGATTACCAGAGTGCGACGCAGTTTCCACTCTCTTACCAAGTTGGCTGGAATTAATCAAACTGAAAGTGCTTCTTCATCTACTATACAACGCAAGCTTCTTGAGGTCTCAAGTGGGAAGGTTTCTAAAACAATTTCTCAAGTGAGGGATGGTCTATTATTTTATAAAGGAAGGGTATACCTAGATCGCAACTCTCTCACACATGTTGATCTTACAAGAATTACACGGGGGTCCGAATGAAGGCCAGTTTGGCTTCCATCAAACATTTAGGCTAATCACTCAAGACTTCTATTGGCGTGGAATGATGGAACAAATTCGATGTTATGTTCAGGAATGTGCTGTGTGCCAACAAGTAAAACTAAAAAATCATGCTCCAAGTGGGTTACTACAACCCCTTCCCATACCACATCAGATTTGGGCTGACTTATCTACGGACTTCATAAGGCTTGCCAAAATCACAAGGGAAAGAAGTGATTTTTGTGCTGGTTGATAGATTATCTAAATGGTAAAGCTATTTGAACAATCTTTTTGTACAAAGAGAGTTTATACAAATTGACCTGATACACCATGAGAGTGTCATGTGACATAAGGATCCACATAATGTTAATGTGATATTAAGTTATATGGGTCCCAAGCCACATGGCATGCTTTGTGACATGCCACGTAAATTTATGTAAACTCTCTTTGTATAAGAGAGTTTTACCCTTATCTAAATATTCACACTTTTTTGCAGTACCCCACCCTTATTCAACTTCTATTATTGCACGCATTTTCTTTGACAATATTTTCAAACTACATGGACTCCCTAAAACTATTGTGAGTGATAGGGACAAAATCTTTCTCAACAACTTTTGGCGTCAGCTATTTTGATTACATGGCACTCAACTCCAATTCAATTTGGCCTATCATCCGCAAACTGATGGACAATATGAAGTCACAAACTGTTGTCTTGAAAACTATTTAAGGTGCTTCACACACTCTCGGCCCCAAGACTGGACTCATTGGCTCACACTGGTAGAATGGTGGCATAACACTAATTTCCATTCATCAATTAGTGTGACCCAATTTGAGGCTATCTATGGATATAAACCTTTGTGATTATTATCTTATTATGATAATAGTACTTCTCTAGAAGATCTGGACACTAGTTGTGAAAGAGAACTGATATTCTACCACTACTAAAGGAGAATCTTGCAAATGCCCAGAATAGGATGAGGGTGATGGCGGATAAGAATTGCACTGATAAGGAATTTGAACCTGGCGATTGGGTTTATAGTCATCTACAACCTTACTGGAAGACTTTAGTTGCTTTCAGAAAATCGATCAAGCTATCTCCCACTCCCAGGTATTATGGACCATACAAAATCCTTGAGCGAATTGGAGTTGTGGCTTACCGTCTGGATCTCCCAATTGAATCGTGAATACACCCTGTGTTCCATGTATCTCAGCTCAAAAAGAAATTGGGTGATCAGGTAGCTCCTCAAACAACACTTTCGTTTGTTTCTAAGGATAACATTGTTCTTCCAATTCCAAAACAAGTATTGAACAGACGGATTGTAAAAGCTGGGCGCAGACATGTAACTGAAGTTCTCATACTGTGGGCAGGATCCACGACTGCTTCAGTTACTTGGGAACTTCTCTTAGATATGAAGCAAACTTATCGAACCTTGTGGGCAAGGTTTTTTAGGGGGAGGCATTGTTATGTATGTGTCTGGACGTAGGTCCCTCATAAGGCAATATATGGATGAGCTAGAGATTAGTTGGAAGTTAATAAACATTGCTTCTTTAGTATGAACTGTTCTTTAGGAGATTAGTTGCTATTTCCTTTCTTTTAGCAACTACAAGGAGCACGTGGGCTGGTTATTAGGAGTTTGTTTTACTTCTACTTGTATTTAAAGCTTGTCAAGTTAATAAAGCTGCAGAGGAAAATTCTAGTCATTTCTTTTTCTTGGAGTCTGGCTAAACTCGAATAAGCCATTGTTTTGTTTCTCATATAAAATTAATTTAATAAAAAAAATTCAGCACCGTGGACCTATTGCTATACACTACGACACGATGAGCTCCGAAAGACAGAATATGTAGCTTATTCAACTATTAGAAATTCACCAGAAAAAAGATGTATAATTTTTTTCTAAGAGGCAAAGAAAGTTTCAGTTGACCGTTGCTAACTACTATCATTGGAGCAAGTCCAACAACACATATCGAAATGGGCGGCCGAACGCTAGAAATTTTGACAATCAGATAATTTTCCAAAGAAACAAAATTAAACTGTCTTCTGTGATAGCCTTACAACTTTTTATAGGGCAACTGAAATTTTTTCATTAGGAATTTATTCTAACTTGTTCAAGTGGCATTTATGCTTTAATCCTTTGCTTAAGGAAGATCTAGACACTACATTACCTATTATACAGATAATAGTCTTCTTTGGGTTCACGCTTTTTCTTTATGCATAAAGAAGTTTCATGAGATTATAATATATGTTTGGTTGATAGCAAAAACGATAAACTCTTATATAGCAATGACCGATAGCTAAAACAGGAACAATGTTCATGACAACTCAATTTTTCCATACCTATCATGACACGTCTTGAATGTTATTAACTAGGTTTCTGAAACTGCACCGATCTCCCTAGAGAGAGTATATCACATAAGCATATATATAAAGCGTAGAAATATCTCCTAATTTAATATATATTTATATACAAAACATGGACTGATTTGGTTGTAAAATTCGATGCATTCTAAGCTTTTGTCCAAATATTCATACTGAACAATGACTTTGTTTCCAAAAGATGAGACAATCATGCATGTTAAACATCTAGCTCCTGTATTATATAAGAAAAACAACAAATAATCGAAGACACAGTCGTAAGGGGTGACGATCGATGAAACTGAAACTTTAGAAAATGACATCAAACTTATCTTAAATCACACACGACACCAACGTCAATTTTTCATTTACTTTAATCCAATATCCTATTAAATAAACATACATGATAAAGGTTCAAACGCGATATGAAAACAACTTTATATTATAACAAATCAAAGATGATTGCAATGAAATCATATTATTATATAAACCCTTTTCTAGCCAAACAAAGAGTTAAAAATCACCATGGATATTGATCTTCTCTACCTTGTTCTGTTAGTGTCTGTTCTTCTAATCTTCCACAAACTCACTACACAGAAGAGAAAATTTCAACACGAAAAACAAATACCAAGCCCTCCAGGTCTTCCTGTAATAGGTCATTTCCATCTTTTAAAACAGCCCTTAGCCCAAACATTGACCAATCTCTCAACCAAGTATGGTCCTATTTTCTTTCTGCGTTTAGGTTCGCGCCCAACTCTTGTACTGTCCGATCGGTCAGTCATTGAAGAATGCTTCTCAGAGAATGACATCGCCTTCTCTAATCGTCCACTCTTGCCCTCCAGGAAGTTTACATCTTACAATCATGTTACCATTGGAGCTCCATACGGCAACCATTGGCGCAACCTTCGCCGTTTCACTGTGCTTGAAATATTCTCAGCAAAGCGTCTCCAGATGTCTTCAAACGTCCGCGCTGAAGAGCTCAGAATCATGGTCAAACACTTGTTTAAAAGCTCCCTCAAAGGGGCGAAGAAAGTGGATGTGAAAGCGTTTTTTTACATGTTGGATTTCAATATCATCATGAGAATGGTTGCGGGTAAGAAGTGCATTGAAGAAGAGGAGATTGACAAAGATGAAGCAAAAGGTAAAATGGATGAGATGACGCGGATTTTTAGACCTGATGTCACAATGGCTTTGGGGGATTATTTTCCATTTCTAAGGTGGTTGACTTACTTTGGAGTGGAAAGGAAGCTGGTGAAATTACATCACAAGAGGGATGCTCTTACGCAGGCTCTCCTAGATGCACATCGAAATTCTGAAAAGTCTCGTTCAGTTGGTGATAGTGAGGTTAGCGGGACAATTGTAGATGTGATGCTGAAGCTGCAGGAATCAGAACCTGATTTCTACACCGATAATGTCATCAAAGGAATTATGCAGGTAATTCCCATAAATATTTCTGTGTGCTTATCAATCTAATTACTTTGGAGACTTTGCCCCTATTTGTTGCACTATTTTGGATCATTGTTATATTATCTTATTTGGACTAAAAAATAGGATATGTGTTTATTTACTTATTAGGTCAATACAATCTGAAAATTAATCTAACTCAAATAAGATATTTTGTCTAAAAATGAAAAGGGGGTAGGACTTGTTTTTCAGATTATCTAACTCTATTCAACTAAAAACATTTTTCTCTCTCTTTCCAATCTAAAAATTAATCTAGCTAAGACCATCGTCGCTGGTCGATGTGGCCGGAACGGCGCACGACCGGTCTAATCTGACCAGTAAAATCTGTCAACGGCTAGATCCACGATGGATTTGACCGAAAATGACCATATTGACGTACGATCGACTAGATCCAACCGATCGTGTGTCGTTCCGACCAATGGTCGACTGTTCTCTTGAGTTGCTGGGGTGCTTTAGTTAATTTTTAAACTTTTATTATGATGATGTTTAGCTAAATTAACAAATGTAGGGAATTAAAAAAATAATTTAAATATTTTCAAAAAAATGTACCAAACAACTATTTTATCTTAAAAACTTAAAAAAAAAAAAAAAAATGTACCAAACAACTATTCAACATTTTATCCACTCTAATATAATTTTAAGATATTTTACAAAACATATTTTCAAATTCAAATCCAATTCGTTTTGATTCAACTCAAGTCAACTTGAAACACTTTTTCAAAATAACATTTTTCAAAAAATATAACAAACAGTCCTGTTAAATCGACTAGAATCCTATCTTTGCAACTCTAAGAATTAGTAAGAAGTTGATTCCCCAGTATATATATGCAAACATTAGTGATGAATTCTTTGATTAGTGGTTGAACTTGATGTCTATGTTTAAATTAAACAAGTAAACTCACACTACAAGAAAATGTGACTTTCTGAAGAACTTTCTCCCGACGCACCAAACGGCATTGCGAAAACCACCTCCCCGACCCAATACAACATTGAGAGAGGTTTTTTGTTTTTCGGATGCAAATTGTGATCTCGAGATAGACGTTTTAGCCTGCTGTGATGCAATCTTGGTCTCCTAATAGGCTTGAATATACTTTTTATTGGAAATGGTATATTGAAAAGAGTGGTAAAATTCAAGTTACATGACATCAAACGTGATTGGGAATAAAACAGACATAGCACCTCAAATTTTCTAAGGGTATTTTAAGCAACTTGTGAGAAATCTATACTTTCTTTAACTATTTAACTAACCAGCTTCTGGTTTTTTAGGCAATGCTAATGGCAGGAACACACACCACGGTGATGACAATGACATCAGTTATTTCACATCTGATATCACATCCAGAGGTGATAAAAAAAGCAAGGGCAGAGATCGACAACCATGTTGGACAATCCAGGCTACTAAATGATTCTGATCTTCCTAAACTTGAATACCTTCATGGTATTATAAATGAGACACTTAGACTGGATTCAGTATCTGTTTTACCTCCTCGACAATCGTCAGAGGAATGTAAAATAGCAGGTTACAACATCCCACAAGGCACACAGTTACTAGTAAACGTATCGGCAGTGCATATGGACCCGGATTTGTGGACCGAGCCAGAAAAGTTCAAGCCTGAACGTTTCCAAGATATTGCGGCAGAAAAGGGAGGCTGTAAATTCATGTCTTTTGGTATAGGAAGAAGGATATGTCCTGGGGCTAGCTTGGCCATGAGGGTGATAGCATTATCACTGGGGACCTTGATACAATGCTTTGAATGGGAAAATGGTGAGGATGAGAGCGTTGGTGCTGTCAAAACCAAACAGAACATGCCAAAGGATAGGCCTGTTAAAATAATATTTCGACCTCGTGAAGCACTTGTTAGAGTCCTTGATAAACTTTGAACTGTGAGCGACTTATGAAGTTATGGTTTTTATTTGAATCGTAGGACGAATAAGAATACATATATGTATCTTTGATGTCATAAAACAATGTTAAATAATCACATGTTATGTTATTGACTATTATTTATATTTTGCTGTTTAGGTTTAGTATGATGATTCACAAGGTTTTAGTGTAAATTAATAAACATGTTTATTTTGAATTTTCCTTAACCTCGTATTAGTCAACTAAACATTCAACCAAATAGTGTTGTGAATGGTGTTTTTCTGCTCGAAATTTCGCAATTAAACAGACAAAAATATAAGTGTTAATACTTTAAAACCCATGAGCAGGGAAACTTGGAGGGACCTTACCGACTAAAGTTGCCAGAAATCTCAATTCAAAATGTGGAGGATCCGTATCCAGTTATTGGGTTTTTTTCAAGATGGATGATCATTAGATATTTTACGATTTAAGTCATAAATATGTTTATCCAAACAGGTTAGTTAAAAGAATGGGGAGAATATTCAAAAATTGTCCTGGTATTGTAGAGATAAAGAGAACAAACTAAACAATGGAGGCACCAGCCAGGCCCATTGCATTGTATTATATAGTGCTATGCTAAATGCTGTAGAATGTTTGGTAGAACTTTATATTATATTATTTTTATAAAATGATACATTCGTGTATAAATTGCATTGCATAATATTTTTTTTTTTCTCTAACAAAAATTCATTTACTAAAAACTAATATACTTTTAAATTATTATTTAACTAATAAATTTAAAAAAAAGGTCAAAAGTTGAATAATTAGTGGTCAATGTCGGTCAAAGGATGTAAAAAGGTAGTCAAACACTGCATCGGTCAAACTCTGATCAGTGTTGTCAACGTCGATCAACATCATTGACTAGCGTGTTAATCAATGTTCTGAAAACCAGACCGGACCGCTCGGTCGGACTGGTTGGATTGGCAACCGGCGGCAAATCCGGTCCGGTATATATAAAAAACAGTTATTTTGATTTAAATCGGATTGGACTGCGGTTGGACCACCGGAATAGTGCCGAATCGCGGTCCAATCGCAGCTAAATCCCGCCAGATTCCGGCATCTTTCAACGGAGAAAACACCCCCATTCGACATGACGGCATCTCCATAACCAAACCCATCCATTTTCAGTCGCCGTCGTCTGGCCTTCGTCGATCACCGTCCACCTAAAGTTTACGCGACGTCGGATTTCTTTTGTTGATTCCGGAGAGTTCCGACGGCGATGGAACTCCCTAGCACCACCATCAGAGTCGCCGGCACCTACACAAAAGCCCCAAGATTCCAGCTTCGATTGGCCATCGATCGTCGCTGCCGCTACCACTCACCAGAATCTTCGCGCAACAGGGGTGTTTTAGATATATTTCAAACCTTAAGGGAGTATTATAAGGGTGTTTTTGATGAATTTCAAACCTTTAGGGATTAAAAATAATTTTACAAATTACGGTCCAACCGACCGATCCAACCGATCAAACCCGTCAAACCGAGAACCGAACCCTTAAACGGGTCATTGTCCGGTCTGGTTTTCAGAACATTGGTGTTAATCATACTTTGACTAACCATTGTATATTTAAATTTATAAATATTAAATTAATTGGTAATGTTTATTTTTTTATANCTAATGCTTAGTGTAATAAACTATAGAGAAGGTCACATTGGCAATACTACAAAAAATGTTCTTTAATAAAATAAGTTAGATAAATTTTCTTAACCGTTTTAAAAAATGTTTAATTTGTAAGCTGTCAAAGATTTAAAATAATCTTTAATTGTTTTAGATGATTCTTGATAATTATTAACAATAAAAAATTTGGTCAAAATAAATTTTAAGAATTTTTTTCTAGACAATTAACAAAATTTAAAAAATTTCGTCAAAAGTTTCCCACCCATCAAAAGTTAAAAACTAAGGACAGTTTTGAGAATAGATTTCTGAAAAGAGTTGTTTGAGTTGTATTTAATAGTTTTCTGAAAAAGTGTTTGCATTTAAATATACTTGTTTATTTATTAGAATTATCAATAGATAATGTCAGAAAAATGTTGTTTGCATTTAATAATGTCAGATAATGATGTGCGCCTGCACCTTGTGTATTACCTTTATGAACTCCCACGCCACCTTCGCCATCACTAAGTTAGCTGAACGCATGGGTATTTTTGATAATTTAAGTAAAATATTTATTCAAATCACATGTTCGGTTAATTATTTAAATATTATATTTGAATTAAATAAATTAATGAATAATTGTTTTATATATTTTTTTAAAAAGGATTTTAAGATAATATTTTGATACATTTTATTTCAAATTTATATTATTTGATTATTGAACTTTTCAATTCACATTTAAATAATATTAATTAGTTGTTTGGTAATTTTATAAGGGCTTAATTAAAAACAATTTCTCCATAATAAGTTCGACTACTAATATATAATTTAAAAACACGGCATTAATACATATTTAAATTAATAATACGAAGCTACTAATAATCATCCCTTAAAATTCTTTGTACCCCAATATTCAGTTATCAATACGAGCTGGACTCATGTTCTGCCCACAGAGTAGTAGTTATGCTATCCCTCACCCTTCCCATGTCGTCTGTATTATGCTGAGTCAGTTGATTCGAACCCGTCCCATTTCCTTGCTCACAAACTCCATTGCCATTAAACCTTTGGAAGATAGGGTTGTTCGTATCGAACCTCTTGATAAAATTATGAATTACACAACATGCCATAACAATGTTAGCTTGCTTCTGCAACGGGTAATTATTCATGCCATCAAGAATGCGGAACCTTTTTTTAAAAACACCAAAGGTCCTCTCCACAACATTCTGAAGCGATGCATGTCTATAATTAAACAACTCCATAGGTCCAGAAAGGTTACGACGCACATCGGAAACATGATAAGGAACTTGTCTATGTGGGGCGAGGAAGCCACCTCTGTTCACATAACCCGCATCTACTAAGTAACATTTACCTATAATGAATAACTGAATGTTATTTGAAGAATCATTAAAAAAATGTTTCTAGTTTAGCTATAGTACATAAACAAGTTAGTTATACCTGGAGGAGGATATGGGAAACCCGAACCAGGATCATCTAGAACTGAATTTAGAACCCTTGCGTCATGGGCAAATCCTTCCCAGCCAGTGACGATATGTGAACAACATATTGAAGTCGCAGACGGCCATCACATTCTGCAACAATGCCCCTTTACGATTTCGATACATATCAGCTATCTCAACAGGCGTCGACCCACATATATGTGTACTGTCAATCGCTCCAAGATATATAGTCCTGTTGACAAAATTGCATTTTAGTAATATGTGAAGACGAACAACAATTATGAAACAATGAACTTAACTATCAACTGATTAAAAATAATTAAGTACCTTAAAGAATGGGTAGAAGTTTGGGTTGGTCGATATCTCCAATGGAACATCAGTGAAGTCAGGTGGCTTGATAAATTTCAAAAGTTTTAGCAAAGTTAGGTAAAACAAGCAAAGGTGCATTAGTTAACTTTTCTTTGATCAGATTAAATGCCTTTTCTTGTTCTTTCCCCCACTTAAACGGCACATTTTTCTTGATGACTTCAGTAAGAGGGGTAACTAAGCTACTAAAATCATGCACAAACCGTCTATAGAAGCTAGCTAAGCCATGGAAACTCCTCACTTGGCTGATTGTTGTAGGTGTTGGCCACTATTGGATTGCCTTCACCTTTTCCTTGTCCACCTCAATTCCTCTCTTACTAAGAACAAAACCAAGAAACACAAGCTTATCCATGCAAAAGGTGCACTTCTTTAGGTTAGCAAACAACTTCTCTTTCCTTAGAATTTCCAAAACAGATTTCAAATGTATTACATGTTCTTCCAAGTTTTTGCTATAAATTAGGATATCATCAAAATACACAACTACAAATCTGCCAATAAATGCACGTAAAACATGGTTCATCAAATGCATAAATGTGCTTGGAGCATTAGTTAAACCGAAAGGCATCACTAGCCATTCATACGACCTCAACTCCAATATCGCATCACAACTTGCATGGACATATCTATAGATTGTCTCACCAGAATGCTGGTAATCCTCCCCACAATCACGATTTGACACATTTTTCCCAACTGTTGTAAAAAATATCATTACTTGTTCTTTAATACTAATGTGTCTGGTTACTCGCAGTTTGCCTCGTTGTGCCAATATATAACATAAGGTTTGAAAACATCTTTTGCTCATGCGACACTTATTGTAAATTCTTCTAGGATGACCATTTAGCAATTCTACCATATAATCGTGACCATTTAATGAAGATGTATTTACAGGTTGGCATGGTTGCATGCTAAACTCCATTTCATATGCAATAGCCCCACACAATACGGCTGCAGTATATAAATATAACTGTAGTTCCTCACTCTTATTATCTTGATTATGGTTTGTATGGCTAGACGATGCCATCTAAACCTGTCCATTGTAATAATTGCTTCCATTAGTTCATACTTTTTTAATACTAACCAAAATATAAATAACATTCAATTTTAAATATAGGAATCATTGCACAACACCTGGTGTGTCGGTTCTTAGAACAAAGCAAGTTAAGTTTGTAATACGAAGAAAGTAAATATAAAATATCTCAGATGTCAACAGAATCAATAAAGACTAACAAGCGAAAACAAGTTCAATAAGGAAGTCTAAAGCATCATCTACGTATGACAGATATCATTATAAACCCAAAATTCCCTGTTCGCATGTGACATGTTCACCATAAGCTGACGCCACTCTGGGTTGGCAATTAAGTACTTCACAGCATCCAAATATACTTGCGGTAGAAGTTGCATACTTTCCAAAATTGAATGACAATTTTCCAAGGAATATCGATCCGTCCAAACACTAGTGTTCTCTTGGGTCCCATCACCGCCACTGCGAGTTGATGCCGCAGATCCCATAGTCTTATTGGAAATAGCTTACGCCAACTGAGTCATCACACCCAAAAATGGGTTTCCCTCCACGTCTCTCCTTCTCCTCCTCCTATTTACGGATCTGCTATCTCCAGACCTATTAGATCGTTTTTCTCCAGTTGATTAATCTGGATCAGGATCGAAGTCATCTTCATTCATGTTTGCCTCGA